TCCATAATGGGCGAAAGCTCACCTTGTGCGACATATATGTGCGAGGCGTGAGCCGAGTACATATATGGGGCACAAAGTGTGCTTGAGTCCATTATGGGTTGTTGGGGAGTTCATTATTGTTATTATTTTGTAGTGTTGTCAATACCAGTTGATTTGCTGCCTCTAAAAAGCGATAAATGTGGAGACAAATCCACAGTGAACGGAAGAGTTTCACAATCACTGGCCCGTGTAACAGAATAATTTAAAATGTCTTTCTGGAAATTTTTTCCATAATCTCATATGGCGAACTAAGAAAGAAACTAGTTTTAATCCATGAAATATTGTTGTATTGAACTCATTTACATTGTAGGTGAATGAGTGACTGATGCGTGGTGTGGAGTAGCATTGCAGTGATCGCACGAGCGAACGGCACACCGTGACTATTATGCCGTATCGGTGTCCTCCGCGGTCTTGCACTACGCTACGCTAGATTGCCACTGTGGTCCAGCTGGATCGACTGTGCGTAAGAGTGCGTACCAGGGGTACATGTACGCAGTTTCATCGTAACCCCATCCCGCTGGTGTTTTCAAACCATCAAGGTAGATGTTATTAGGAACTGTTCTGTCTGTATTATAGTCATTTTCAAATTGTACAGGAGGTCGGTGATTTGACGAATACCTACAAGCCAAACGAAACATGGCTGGAAAGCTGGTGGGTGTTAGCCATCCTAGAGGGAGAACCAAAAGTGATTTTAATCTGACTGTATAAATAAAAAATACACACCTGAAAACACGTGCACGGATACTTTCTTTTGCTTATGCAAACTGTGCCCGGACTGTGACATTTACCGGGAGCCGACGTTGAGAAAATACAAGTCACGTGCACGTCGGCCATCGTCGATCCACACTTAGTTTATTGCATTTGCTTGGATAAATCACCTTCGGTTAACCTCACTTCATCAACACGATAGGGCGAAGTAGTCGGGAGGCCACCAGGACAGCGGCATCACTCGCGGAATTTAGAAGCGCGCGTACTTGATGTAACGCTTCGACCGAACGCGTTTTTGCATACAGAGCAGACAACGATGATTTTTCTGATTTTGATATTTAAATCCGCTGTTATTGGTATTATACCGTTTTATTTGATGCCGATTTTAGTATTAAATACTTGTTATCTAACAATTTCTCTTCTTTTTCAATAGTTTCTCCTTTATACGTTTTTGAAAACAACATTGTATTAATATCCATGGCACAGGGCCTTGATGCTCAAACATGGGTACAATATCGCAAATAATCGTCATA